GGGCCGCGCCGTCGCCGAGGGCGCTTGGCCGCCGCCGCCGCTGCCCAGCCTGGCCGCGGAGGAGCTTCTCGGCGCGGAGCCCTGCGGGAAGAGGAGCCCGACCAGCAGCGCCGGCGCGGGAGAGCCGCCCGCGGACGCCGAGGCCCCGCAGGTCTGTAAGCCCGCGCAGTCCTTGTCTCTGAGCCTTTCCTAACCTCACGCCGAGGGGCGTGGGCTCTTGCTCGTCCTTCGGCCGCTTGGGCGCCTGCTGACGCGCTGTCATTCCGTCAACGGATGAAGTAATCCTCTGCCGTGTCTTTTCTGGCAGCAGGCAGCGGGAACCGGCACTTCCTGCCTCACCGCCTGTCACACGTGTAGGCTCAGTGGAGAGTTCTTACCATTCAGCTTGTGCTGGGTGAAATGATACAAGTGTGGTGAAGCTCTCAGGTGGAATGAGCTCTGCTGATGCTGAACGTCAGTGCTTTGCATTTGTTCACTTGACACTCAGAGCAGGCAGGTAGCGGCGGCAGTTCTTGGTTCATAGCTCGTTCAGTTTCACCTGAGGTTTTTCTTGTGGAACGTGTGTTCTCTAAAATGGTATGAGTTACTAGTGTTGAACGCAGATCCCTACCGTGTACAATGAGATGCCCTAAGTCTATATGATGGAGTCGGGAAAGTGGGATTGGTGCTTGATGTTTGAGATTTTTACCTTCCTGATGGCTTTTTCCCGAAGCGATGGACTTGGGAACTGGTTGACAGCTGGATAAAAACACCCCGTTGTTTAATGCTGTTTCTAGAATGGAGCAGCAAGTCCTAAGTGTAAGCACAGCCTGTACCGTGTAAGGCTGTAAAAACAAAACAAAACAAACCCGAAAAAACAAAGTGGGGCGAAATGGAGGCTGATTGAGAGCGGCCTCCGGTGTGCAGCCGAAAAGCAACGAAGTCGAGAGCGAAGGGCCGTCCCTGAGGAGGACTCCTTGTGAGGGGGGATCTTCATTGCTGCCTTGTGCTATGGCTGGGGGTTTGGGAAACTAATGTGGCTGGTGGCGTTCCAGTGTGACACACTTTTGATCTGCGGAAAGGGTGAGGGAAAAGTCGTGCAAGCACGACTGCTGCTCATTGCTGTGCAACTGGTGGTGCAGATTGTGCTTTTGAACTAACGGGCCAAGACTCGTAATGCTCTGCACGGAATATTAAGAGCACTTTATCTCTACATTGTATCACCGTAACAGAAACATTAATCCCTGCGGTAGAAATAACACAACCACGGGAGGCGTGTCATTTCTTTCTGGTCGTCATCGCCCCTTCCTCGCCGATTCCTTCACGTTATCGAATTAATTGTTTAGGTGTAAATGCCTATGAAGCATGCAGACCCTTAATTTATGTGGCCTCATGGGAAATCACCCATTCAAGTCCGTTAACTTTCCTGTTTCGGTATTAGCTGCCTCTGTATGTCTTCCAACAGTTTAATGCTGTAGCCGTTAGGTCAGTGTCGTCACTGAAGCACTCCATTGCTCTCATCCCGTTCTCAAATACTGTCGGGACTTGACGACTAGCGGGAAAATAGGCGCAGAAGAAAAACTGGGAGCAACGCAAAGGTGTCGTATGGCTGGAATCACCCTCCACCCACAGAATGAGCCGTATGAACGGGAGTATTTCAAGGAAAGTTCCTGAAGCGTGGGTTCATGAGCCTGAAATGCTTATTTCTCCAGTAGAGTAGAGTGTGTGTCCGAATATGACGTTTTGTATTTCAGAGCCTGTTTTCTCTTGCTTTCCTTGTAGCAGTCATTCAAGCAAGACGAATACAGAAAGTCGTGTTAGAGACTGTGGTACGGGCTTAGATTCTCAACTGACTGACCTCACCTTCTTGAGCCTTTAAATGTCTAATCTCAGCCCATATTAGTGGTGTAGATAATTTCCAGCGTGTTCCTTATTGTTGTTCCCACAAACGGGGTTCATTTACCCCGCCTGGAGCCAATACCACACAGAGTCGAGGTATTTTTAAATTAATTTCATGGATGCACATGAACGGGTGCCTGTCTCAAGACAGCACACCTTTGTCTCAAAACTCCCCACGTTTATCTAATTAAATGATACATATTCACTATTACTTCCCTGAAGGATTGGTTCTTTCTTCTTTGCCTGTCTTATAAATTAGTGCACAGACTCGGTCTCCTTCCTTCATGGTCTTCTTTTGAGTAGGTGGTCTCATTTGAGTAGGTGGTCAACGAGTCGGTGGTCGCGATCTCCCCCTGTAGGAATTGCCTCTTACCTACTTCTTACTCTGTCTTGGCAGTTACAGGTGGTTCTTCAAGGTTTATCGACCAGACCACAATCCATTACCTTTTCGACATAAACATGAAGCCCCACTGTCTGATAGTTAGTTGCTAAACCTTAATTATAGTGTATAGTTTTGTTTCCTTATTTTCAATATTAACCGATGGGGTCTGTAGCCAGGACTTTAGCAGTTCCCTAGTTATTTCAATCATATTATGCATATTAATTGATAACAATTTCCCCCCTCTGAGACTTGTGAAGTGTCGATATATTTTAACAAGTCTCACTTTCTATCTCTTATCACTAATACATATGGTTGAGATGCCTGTCTCATGATGAAACTCTTGAGACATCCAAACAATATAGAAACAAAAATCACTGTAATAACCAAAA